TTTATATGTATATATATATATATATATTGTTGTACATATTGATGTACAAGTTATATTATATTACATTTATTTTGTTTGCTAAGTAATTAAAATATTTTCCCAATAATTCAATTTTTTTGAGTAAATTTCAAGTATTTTTTAAAATTCAAATTTAAAGGACGGAATTAATGAAGTTTTTAATATTATTTCAATTTTTTTATATTTATATAATGAAGATATTTTATTGATTTAGTTTTATTTGAATAAGAATAACATAAAATAAGCATGTCTTTTTATATTTTGAAATATATTATCAGTAATTTCAGAAGATAAGATCCTCTAGAATTTTAAATAGCTGGAACAACACATTTTAGATTTTTTTTGTACTGATAATTATGGAAGATATATAAATTGAGACAATATAACAATTTTGTTTGATTTATTATTATTATTATATTATTTTCCTGTATCTTTTTCAGAAGTAACAGAATTTACAATGAAGACATCTGATAATTGTAAATCATCATAATAAATTTGCTTATTAAAATTTTTCATATATTAGTAAAAAAATTGTAGTAAAGTTATAAGTGATGTATTTTGAAATTAATAATAGTCAATTAAATAAAATATACTTCAATAATTTTTCTCAACATTAAATTTAATATTATAGCTATTTTTATTATTCACAGAGAATATTAATATATAATTTTATACTTAAAATAATTTGTTAAAATTTAATTCATTTATATTTTACATTGTATATATAAGCTGTTTTTCCTTGAAAATAGTAAATTCTCTCATTTCATGTTTTACAACCAATATGATGTCAAAATTTTACACATAACAAATAAATTTAATAAACACTATACAATGTCTAATGTGAATAAAATACTATTGATTTAATAAAACATAATTGAATTTATCTGAATTTTTCAGCAATAAGGAAGAAATTGGGTAGCTGCATGGGGAATTTCTAAGGATTTCTATAAGGTATATTATCTAATTATGGTATATCTATTAATTAAACTAAATTGTTTTAAATAATTATATGAACATATTACTAATAGGGTATAATAAAAACAATATAAAAAGAACATCTTAAAATTAAAGGGATTCTAATAAATAATTATAGCTAAAAACTATTCCTTTCTACAAGGAATCCTACAGAAAAGGTAAATTCTGCTAAGGGAAAGGTTAGACAGAAGTCCTGTTAAAAAGATAAAAAGTATATTAAACCTCACAATTAGGTATAGATAGAAGAAAATTAATTACATAAACCCTAAGAAAAGGATAGAATGATTTCAGTTTATATTAGTTTAAAATATATATTTAAAGCAATTTTTAATGTAATAATATTGCTCATTAAAAAATATTTTGTTTTCATTAACTTTATGTTACATTACATCAGTAATTTTATTTTATTTGTCAATGATTTTCAAATCTTACACATTTGAATTATGATTATATCTATGACTTTTTTATTAATAAAAACACAAAATAATCTAGGAAACTGCTTGCCAACAATTAATTACTGATTTCATATTCTAATGTCTGTTATAATTTAGGTTTAGAAAGAATCAGTATATGCATTCAAAAGAAAGTTGAAGAAAATGTTTGATTGAAGATTATTTTATTTTATTTTCATCTATTTAAAAATGTATTTAAGTTGCCTGTTATTTATTTTTGAGATTATTTACGTAAAATGTATATATATAGCAATTATTATATAAAACTGAAAAACTAATTGATGCAATATTTCAATGTTACAAATTTGTTGAATTAAAACACTTTTTAAGTAAATTAAAGTGAATATATGAAATGCATTTTTAAATAAATAAATTTTACTTATTTATTTATGAATGCATCCAAAACCAGATCTCTCTTAATTTTTCTCTCATACACCTTATATATATCAGTGATTCTTTCTAAACCCAATCATCAAAAAAAAAAAAAATTACAAACCATGAAACAAATAGATATTTATAATTAATTACTTGCTCATCTTCAATTATTTAATATTTGACAAAAATTTATAAATGTAAATGGTAGATAATGATTAATGATTTGTAATCCTGAATAAATTTCAGTTTAAGTACCAATAATCTTCATAGAAAAAGTTTTTTACAGTTATTTTTATATATTAAAATATCTCATTCAGGATATCATTTTATCAGTTTTTGAAAATAAGATTGTAAATAATGTCTTCTGTTTATTAATTGAAAAATTCATTGAAATTTTTAGAAATTTACAAGAATAAGATTTAAATTTGCCTTTTAAATTTTTATAAGCATTCAATGGTTTAAATAAATCTTGATTATAATTTTCAATTTGTCTGAAACATATTATATATATATAATTTGTTAACTACTTCATTAATTGTATGATAATTACGTATATATAAATTTGTGTTTTTATTAGATTAAAGTTTTCATCCAGTATTTTACATCATTTTCAATTTAAAATACTATACAAATAAAATCTCAAATGTTATGTATATATAAATAAATTTTAAATGTATTATTCTATATATTATTCTACATAGGAGAATATTTTAAGTTTGAT